GCCAGAATTGCCGAAGACAGTTTTTGCAACTCGAGTCACACGTGTCCGTCCGGACAGTCCGATGCCACTCGTAGATATTTAACTGCGAACCGCGGCGTATCTGCGTTACTTGGCCAACAGATTCCTATTATCTACGCAGTACGTTGTGTGTTGATAGGCTCTTATCAGAGTTGGTTGCGTGTTTTTGGCAACAGCTCTGCGTCGCGATTAGATGACCCACGGGTGACACTTTCTGATCACCGCTGAGGTCCTCTGGGGTGTGATCGCAGCGACGTCTCGCGCCCCGAGAATCGAACTCAGATCCACGCTGCTCCAGAGGAGAGGGGGCATAACAAGGAGGAACTTTGTGGGACATGGCGCTCGGTTGGCTCAGATGCTGTGCTTGTTAAACACACAGATTACTTTAAGTAACAGTAAAACTGGGCCTGTAAATTAGATGTAAAATCTCAGAGTCTGAGATTAGGTTATCTTAATTTGTTCCAAGAGATTTTATTGCGTTCCGCGGGTTGTAGAAGTGCCTTTGTTGTTGTTGTTGTTGTTGTTGGTCCACACGCCGTGCACTGAGCTGGGAAATAGTCGCGTGTGTACGCTGATAATCCCGGATTTGTTGCGTTTACAAAGTCCGTGTTTCTTCTTTTGTGCTGGAATTAAAAGGTTTATTATGCGTGCTCAGATTATCAGCTACTCTAATTTTAATTGCGGTATCACAGTGTTTACAAATATGAAGGAAGTTGGTGTTAATTTTTCGTCGTACTTTTTAGTTACACGTCGTACAGTCTGTTTAAAGCGAAACTGTCCACATTACAGCTCACGGCTGTTCCCGTCACAGTCAAGAGCACTAACACGTGGAGTAAGCCCTGACCTTTGACCGTAGTCGGCGTCTTGCAGTCGTCATATGTCGCTCTTCCCGCCCATCTTGGCAAGCTGATAGTCGCTCACCTAACCAAGAAGTTACCCTATCGCGTTCGCAAGAGTCTGTCCAGACTCATTTGACTGGAGTTCCAGGTTCTCTCTTTCTTTCAGATCTGGGAATGAAATGTTGTCGTCTCACCTCTCCCATTCTCGCTCTTATCCTCCTCGATTTCCTTATTAAGCCTAACAATATTCGCAGTTTTCGCCATGGTCTTGCTACTTCTGACTCGGGTCCACACTTTGTCCTCGGCATTGCCCGTCATTTTTTACGTACGATGATGATGATGATGATGATGCCATGTCTTGTGTGCCTCTGAATGGCGTTTCTTTGCTTGTGTTGAGACAGAACAGTTTTCTTGCGGTCCAGAGCAAAGTGTGCAGAAATGTCCGCTCTCAGGGACAAAGTTCGCTTATGCATGACTGCACTTCATTACACACGCAGAATAACAGAGCGTCGCGTGATGATAGTAATTGCATGCAGATTGATGTCAGTGCTTAGTTAAATTCTTGTTTCGTGTGGTCGTCTCCTGTGTTTTAAAAGAGACCCTTTCGCTCCTGTAAAAGGGATTTCGTTTGGTTTGTCGATGGCGGCAAGTGACATGACATGACAGGACGGACGTTGTTGGCTCGTTTGACGTTGCGCAGGAATGGGTTTCGTCGAAACGTCGGATAATACGCGTAGGAATATAATCAGTGTTTGAGCGTTAACAATAAACTTGGCGAATAACTTTAAATTAGTAACAAGCAAATTAAAAGCCCGTGAATCGGAATCGAATTTGCGAATAATTTAGAGGCCGATTATGCTCCTTCCCTTTCTGCGTTGTTCTTCCGAAACGTCGGTATCTGCCTTCCGGCGCTTGAAGGAGTTTCAGACGATGGACTTGCTGTCCGCCGTGTGGAACGGACGAAAGGCTTCGCTCGCGGAATCCGAGTGCCTGGACTGGATTCAGCTGGCGTAGGACGCGGTCCGGTGGCCGGCTGTTGGCAGGAACGGCAGTGATCCTTCGGGTTACGTGAAGGTTTTTTTCCCTCTCTCTCGAGCGAGTGTTTGGCTCTCAATACGGATTATGCCTAGATTTAGTTAGTTGTGACGTAATGGAACGAAGAAGTGTCCTGTCGCCTGCCTCCGACCTACGACGAGCCGTCCATTTGCGTCCCTCGATCGATTTGCTTCGCGGCGCCGTGTGACGCAACCGATGCTTGCGTCGTACAAAACTGGACTCACGATGCGTTTCTGTAAGTTCATGGACGTTCGTCTAATTTCGTAACGCACTTATCAGAATCCATTAGCTTTTACATATCGGATTAAGACCACTTGTTGCGTCAACAAAGCAGTGGAGAGGCGTCTGGTGTGTAAACTTCACGGTCGTCTGCGGAATGTCCGGCGAGGTCACTTTGTCACACTGAGCCCCTCGTCGGCTCTTTACGGGCTGAAGTGCCGGGACGCGGTCGCATTTTCAAGCCTAATGGTAACTATATGTACCACCTGCTTCAGCCAGTAATTTTTCGTTCTGCCCACAAGTGTATTTATCAGTTTAACGCGATTCTTTGCTGAAACAGCTTTAAACAGTTGAGGTTTGCAAAGGTGGAGTGTTGTTTTCTTTGCGGTACGAACTGAATCGTTAAATGTTATTT